TAGGGAAAACAACACAGGGAAGGAGGAGGAAGAGATTTTCATCCTTGTAGCCCTCATGTAGAAATGAGTCTCAGTGTGAGGGGAATATATTCATACAGCCAGACTCCAGCCCAACCCGGTTCAGAATCTTTGGGGCCAGCTGCAGGTATTTATTTTTAAGGCCCCAGGAGCTTCTAATGCATAATCAGGGTTAAGAACTACTGGTCTAATCCAACCTCCTCATTGTAGAGATAAAAACACATGTGCAGACCACATGCTCAGAGGGCCCTGTGCTTGGTTGAATGCTCAGATGTTGCCACCATGAAATTCTTAATTGTTAAACAAGGAACCCTGCAGTTTTACTTTGCACAAGGCCCTGTAGGTTACACAGCTGATCCTGGCCCATCACACTGCTCTCAGAGGCAAAGTAAATTCTCACCTCATTAAAGAAGGGAGAAAGGCCCTGGGAGTGAGGAGGGAGGGTGAAGTACAGTTTTCCCAGCCCATGTGATCTGCCTGCCCTTCTACTGCCAGTGAAATGGAGATGTCCACTCCTTGGGGTCAGGGAGGGACGCTGTCCTCACATCTCTTGGGAGAAGCCATGGGGATGATGCGGAGACTGCCAGGCCTCTTCCTACCTATTAGAGATCCTCTGAGCCTCAGTTTTCTGTTTTGTTTTATTGGTATGGGGAATCGAACTCAGGACCTTGTGCTTGTGCCGCTGAGCTATATCCCCAGCCCGGACCTCAGTTTTCACATCTGTAAAAGGGAGGAAATGATGCCTGCCTTACAGAATTACTCTGAGGAGTACCAAGCATCAAGACTGTCCCACTAGGTGCTGGAAACATGTGACTTCTCTTCCTTTTCTTTAGCAGAGGGGGAAGTGGCTTTCTCCAGACTAACGGACGCAGGTCCAGCCCAACAGTCACTCAACGTCCTTTTCTGCCCGGCAGGTGGAGGGAGCTCAGCTTCTGCAAGTTCCCAGGCTTCCTCTTTTCTCACGCAAACTAAGGACAGGCGGTTCTGGCGACCCTTCGGTTCTGTCAACCCTCCTTCGGTTCTGGCGACCCTTCTTCGGTTCTGGCGACCCCCCTTCGGTTCTGGCTTGGATAGAGCAGCCCGCAGGGAAGACTTGCTGATGCTGCACTCTGGTGGTGATCTGTGGTATCTGCATAAATTACTAACTAAATGAGCCTGTACTCCTGATATATTTATTACACTTGATCTTAGCCAAAAGGCCGAGAAGCGATGCTCCTGATATATTTATTAATTGGCCAATTATATGCAGACAGCTTTCTATTAATATTTAAAGGTATTATAAAATTAAAAACAGAAATAAACCCAGAAATTTAAAAAACTGATATAGAAAAGAAATGAGCAATTTTAAAATGTCTTGCTAATTGTTTTATCTTCATACTCTCTTTTATTTTGAGACAAGGTCTCACTATATAGTTCAGGCTGGCCTTAAACTCATTGTGTAGCCCAAGCTGGCCTCGAACTCATGGCAATCCTCCTGCCTCTCAGCCTTCTGAGTGGTGAGATTACAGGTGTTCACCACCATGGTGAGCTTCATACTATCGTTTTGACTATTTTAAGGCACAATATACACTTCGAGTAGAGTTTGTGTTTAACGATAACCAGAGCATTCATATTTCATGGACTCTTTGTTTTTGTTTTACAGTCCTGGGGACTGAATCCAGGGCTTTATGCAGGCTACATAAGTGCTCCACTACTGAGCTACATCCCCAGTCCCAGATCCACATTCCAAATAGACTTTCTGCTAACTCCACATTTTATTTGGGCAATTTAGTATGAGATTTGATCAAATTGTCTTCGCTTTTAAGAAAAAAACTGAAAATGTGGCTGACAGAAGGAAAAGAGTATCAGGCCCACCATGCTGATGTGGTTTGCTCATGACTGTATTATTGATATCAATAATATAATTTCAATATGTAGTTTCTCAATAGGAATCTTAGAAAGCTACTGGCTTTCGAGCGTTACTTTATAGGCCGGGATACGGCTCAGCAGCACAGTGCCTGCCTAGCATGTGCCAGGTCATGAGTTTGATTCCCAATACCAAAAAAAAAAAGAGTTATTTTAGTTAAAACCCAATCAGATAATCCCCAAATCCACTTAATGAGGTATATGACAATTGCAGTATGTCACAAACACTGATATCCAATGAATAAGTCATTAGATTAAAAAACAGGAGACATGAAAGTCCTAATACTTTCTTCCAGTACCCCTTGAATTGCCTTAGAAACTCCCTGGTGTGTCAGCCCCTGCCTTTGGAAAACAGGCTCTTGGATGCTCTGCAGGGTCTCACTGTTTCCATTTCTGCCCCCTTCTTTTCAATTTTCCACTGAGTAGGAGGGTGCTCTTCTCACAGTGCAAACTGTATCAAATTCCTCCACTCCTCAAAACCTTCCACTGGCTTCCTGTCTTTATCAATAAACTATCTAAGCCACTCGTTCAAGAGGCCTCCAGGGTCCCTCGTGTGCCCCGCCCCCCTGGCCTTTTCTCCCACCCAGCCTTGCTCACCACCACCCAGCTCTAAGCTCCCCAGCTTCCTTCCATTCCTCAAGCCTTCTTTGTTCTTTCCCACCTGGGTCTTTCAAAGGTGCTCCAAATAGTTTTCTTAACATGCCCTTTCCTGCCACCCCTCCCCACTGTTAAATTTCTGCTTACCCCTAAGATCTCAGTTTAAATGTCCCCCTCTTATAGGCTTGTTCCTTATCCTTTAAAGTTAAAACAAAGACCTGAACCAGCTTAGCCAGTGTAACCTCTCATCAAATGCTTCACTTTTTCCTCAAAATTCTTTTCAAAGATTATTACATTGTATTATATTAATCTGCATCATGATTTGTCTAATATCGAGGCCCCTATAAGACTGTAAATTCCATGAGGGCAGGAACAGTGCCTGGTATGTAGAGAGTATGTTGGAAGAGCAGTGAATGGCTACCTGGCACCAGGTATGATGGTGTCTTAGTTACTTTTCTTGCTGCTGGGACAAAATACCAAACACCCACAAGTTAAGGAGGAAAAGTTTATTTTAGCTCAGTTTGTACAGGTTTCAGTCCGTAGTCAGCTGGCTCCCAGGCAGAGCAGCATGGGAGAAAGGCTTAGCAGAGGAGAAACAGTCCATGGCAGGGCAGGCAGAAAGCAACAAACAACATACTTCCCTTTCCCTTCTATTCCACTCAAGTGCAAGCGCATTGGCTGATGCTACTCACATCTGGGTAGGGCTTCCCTCTTCAGTGATTGTACCATCCACAATTATGCCAAGCCAATCAGCAGACTAATTTAGTTATTACACACCCTTAATCCATATTCACACACCTTAGATCCACCCAGCTCTGAAAAGCCCCATCTGTGAGCGTTATGAGGCTTTGGGCAGACATACAGATTCAAGCCATAACAAATGAATTCAATTATGTCCCCCTCCACATACGCACAAAACATGGTATGTTAAAGTCCTATTCCCAAATACCTCTAAATGTGATCTTATTTGGAAATAGAGTGTTACAGAAATAGTCAAGTTAAAATGAGGTTATTAGGCCAGGTGTGGTGGTGCACACTTGTAATCCTCAAACTCAGGAAGCTGAGGCAAGAGATTCACTGCAAGTTTGAGGCCAACCTGGGCTCCATAGTAAGGTCAAGGCCAGCCTGAACTACACAGTGAGACCTTGTCTCAAAAAAAAAAAGGCAGTATTAAGATAGGCTTTAATTCAATGACTGGTGTCCTTATTTTGACACAGAGACAGACAGATACAGAGGGACAACAATGTGAAGACACAGGAGGACCACCAAGATGACTATCAAACATCAGAAGCTAGAAGAGGCAAGGAAGGAGGGAGAAAAAACGTTAATACCTTGTTTTGGACTTACAGGCTTCAGAACCCTGAGCATAAATTTCTGTTTCTGGTCATTTGTTGTATCAGGAAGCTCTAGAAAAACTCATACAAAAGGGGAAGTCATTGAGTGAGGGCAGTTAAATGTTGCGGACTTTGACTGGTAGAACAATATAATGGAGGTTGTAGAGCGCAAGAAGGAGTCAAATTGTTCAATAAGCATCACTCGAGGATGTGCTTTTGGTTTTGTTTTTTGGTGCCGGGAATCAAACTCAGGACCTTACACTTGCCAAGCAGGTGCTGTGCTGCTGAGCTATATTCCCAGCCCTTCAACTATGTTAAAAATTGGCTCAATCTCCCAAAACACAGCTCGGTTGACCAACCCTCCTTCTTACCTCCCATCTTTTTTCCAAATGCCATATTCCATTCATCCTAGATTTGATGGACCCACAAGCACATCTCCACATCCCTGAAATCAGCCCGAGTCCGATCCAAGGAAAGGAAGTGGGTGACTGGCAGGTGTTTCCAATTTTTCTCAAATTAAATACATCTTTCATTTGTACGTGCATACACATGTGCATACATCTTGCGAAGGATGTGCACACATCTTTTATCTGGCTCTCCGGTTACCTTTTTCAGATGAACTCCTACAAAGTTACTGGGGCAAAAGGAGTAACATTTTAATTTTTAATAATTCTTTAAAATTTACAGAAAATTAAAGCCTTTGCCATTGCAGTCCACTCCAGACAAGGCCTAGGGTTTCTTAAAACTGGTTTAATTCAAACTAGCTCAATATCCCCTCCTGGCGATTTTTAAAGTGTTAGTAAATACATCCCAGCTCCTCTGCCAATGCACACCTGCGCTTGCGTACAAGCGCTCAAATGCTGGCCTCCAGCTGCAGGGACTTTTTGACACGCCCCCAAGCACCACCTCTTTAAATTTTAAAACTAAGGCGCGGACCAATGAATGTTCAGTCTTTGCCTGACCCAGGCGTCCCGCCTACACCCGCCCTCGACCAATCAAGCTGGGCTTTTCTCCACCGCCCTACTAATCAGCTTCAAAAATGAAAGCGTCACGTAATTTACGTGGGGCAAGTAGCCAATGAGAGCTGACATTGGGAACTAGCTCCGCCAATAGCACCAACTTTGGTAGAGCGCGGGAGGCTTTCGAGCAGGGAATCGGTCAATGGCGCTGGTTCCCTGAAGCTAGGGCCTCGGGAAGAGGGGCGCGCGCCGCCGCTGCAGCCCCCAGGGGCGGCGGCGCGGCCGACATGGCTTGCTGTCACAAAGTGATGCTGCTTCTCGACACGGCGGGTGGCGCCGTTCTCCAGACCCCGGCCCGTCGGGCCGCCCTGCGCCTGCTCACCTACCTGGGGTGCCGGTTCGGCCTGGCGAGGGTCCACTGGGCCTTCAAGTTCTTCGACTCCCGGGGTGCGCGAGGCCGGGCCTCCCGCGCGTCCGACTTCCGCGAGCTGGGGCCGCGATCGTGGGAGGACTTCGAGGCGGAGCTGGAGGCCCGGCTCGGGGGTCCCGCGCCCGGCGCCGCGCTGCCCGACCCTGCGCCCCGGGCCAGCCACACGCACGGCGCGCTGATGGAGACGCTGCTGGACTACCAGTGGGACCGGCCCGAGATCGCGTCGCCCGCGAAGCCGATCCTGCGCAGCCGCGGCCGCAGACTGCTGGACGCCGAGAGCGAGGCCAGGGAGACCGAGGCCGCGCTCGGGGGTCTGGCGAACGCCGTGTTCCTGCTGGCGCCCTGCCCGCACTCGCAGAGGGAGTTGGCGCGGTTCGTGTCGGGCTGCGAGGCCCAGCGCCCACCGCCCACGCCCCAGCAGGTGATGGAGAAGCTGCTGCCCCGGACGGTCCGGGAGGTCATGGTCGCCCGCAAAATCACCCTCTACTGGGTGGACATCACCGCGCGGCCCAAGGTGAGGCGACCGCGGGCTCGGGGCGGTGCTCGGGGCCTCCTTCGCGTCCGGGACCCGCAGGGCTGCGAGGCGCGCTGGCCCCGGGCGCTGCGGAAAGAAGCCACGCGATCGCAGGCAAATTCGCACGGCTTCCAGAGCACATGGGTAGGGCCTAGGTCCCCACGGCGTAAAGCATAGGGTCCTCTGCAGGTAGGTCCCTTTTTGCCTTCCCAGACTTTTATCTTCCTCCTAGAACATAGATTCCAGCGTGTGGGAGCCTAGTCCAGCTGGTCCCCGGGCCTGACTGCCTTTGTCTCAACTTGTATTGTTCGGTCTGCCTGGACCAGTGCTCGCCCTTCTAAGCCAGTCCGAGCCTCACTCAACCGTAAGGCCTCTGCATTTCCAGGCTTTTTTTTTACCCCCTTTCACTTTTTTTTTTGGTCTTTTTGAGACGGTCTCGCTATGCAGTTCAGGCTAGACTTGAGCTCACTTTGTAGCCCAGGCTAGTCTCGAGCTCGCAGCGATCCTCCTGCCTCAGCCTCCCGAATGCTGGGATTACAGGTGTGCGCCACCACCCTGGCTCCCCCTTTCACTTGACAGTTCTCTTTTATGTTCTAACTGCGCACATCTGCCACTTTCCATCTAATCTAAAAATACCTTGAAGAAGAGCATGTTTGTATCCCTCACAGATGTGTATTGGACATTGTGGATGTTCCATAAATATTTGCTGACCAAATGGATAAATGCATACAAACGTCAGTCTTAAATGGCTACTAGGGTTTTTTGTTGAGGCATGAGGTTCCCTACTTCCCTTAAGCACTGTGAGTGTATTTTTACTTTCATCATTTTCTTCATGGCGTGTTATTTTAGTTAACAAATACTCATTAATAAGCCACTACACTGAGTAGGATACATTCTACCCTGTTCTGGCTGCTAGGAATATAGTGGTGGCAGTGGAGCTTAGCCTCTAGTGTGGAAGATGTGTTAAATAGATAAGGCTAACAGGAAACAAATGAGCAGGTAGGTGATGCAATTTCAGATCCTGCTCTGAAGAAAATAAAGCTGGGTGAGGGCATGGGAGTCCCATGTGGAATTAGAGGCAGGTATTGTATTCGTGGGGGGGAGGTCGCCAGACAATGCCTTTTTAAGCAGAAAATTTAGCGGTGAAGGAGGAAGAATATGAAGATTTGGAAAGAACATTCCTATGGAGAAGAGCAGGTGTGAGGACGTGAACTAGAAATGAGCTTAGTTTGTTTCAGAAACAAAAAGGCTAGGAGTGCTGAGCCCTATTAAGTGATGGCAGAAGCCGCAGAAGTCAGAAAGTTCAGGAGGCCAGTTTGTCAGGCCAGGGTTGTAAGTGTGGCTGGTGTTCCAGTCCAAGAGAAGGCTTTGGCAAGTGGTTCAACGAGGTAAAAGATGTGATTCTATCTGCTGGAAATACACTGGCACTAAACCAGGAGTGGGTTAAGTTGCAGGATTACATCTGGGAGATCAACAGGTACTTTTAAAACAAATAATAGGGCTGGGGATTTAGCTCAGTGGCAAAGCGCCTGCCTGGCAAGCGCAAAGTCATGAGTTCGGTTCCCGGTACCGGAGGAAAAAAAAAACGAATAATAGCTGGGTGTGATGGCGCACACCTGTAATCCCAGCACTCGGAAGACTGAGGCAGGAGGATCATTGTGAGTTTGAGACCAGCCTGGGCTGCAAAGTGAGCTTGAGGCCAGCCTGAACTGCATAGCGAGACCCTGTCTCAAAAAGACACACACAAAAAAACCCAAATAATGATAGCGTGTTAAGATTTCCAGTGTATTCACATCCCAAGCCCCTAAACAAGCTTGGCAAATGCAAAATAATGCCACAGTGTTTTGTTAAAGAAGAAAAGGGCAAAAATGTTACAGAGATGGTAAGCAACTGATGAGAAAAATGGAAAATCTAAAATTTGTTAAGACGGCATATCAAGTGTTAGATACAGTATGCAACATATTACTGCTTGATTTGGAGTGGTTGATATCAAATCAGATTTAAAACTTCATTCTAGATTTGTATTATATCAAATAGTGGCTAGAAATAAGACTTCACAGATGGCATGCTGGGAGCTGGCTGACCATTAGGGAGCCAAACAGCCGTGCATTCTTGGAGCTTATAGTGCAGCGGACATTTGCAGATCCTTAAATTTGACATGTCCTTCACCTTATTATGTGTATACAAATGAAAAGTGTAACTATACTCTATGCTGTTTTAAAATCATGCATATATATTGCTTTTTAATTAAAAATTAAAAAAAATATCAAAAATTAATGTCCAAGGCTGAGCATGGTGGCACACACCTGTAATCCCAGCACTCAGGAGGCTGATGCAGGAGGATCATTGTGAGTTCAAGACCAGCCTGCGCTACAAAGTGAGCTCAAGGCCAGCCTGAATTACATAGCAAGACCCTATCTCAAAAAGAGAAAAAAAAAGTTAATGTCCTTGTAGACTCTTACTAAAGATTTACCTTTCATTAGATATGCAGATTTTTTTCTCCTGGCTGGTCCTTTCATTGCTTCAATTTCAACACATTTTTTTTGTATCCATTTTGCAGGAAACAACCAATCAGGATCTGTGGCCTCTGAACTAATTTATCTTTTATCTTTCTCCTCCATCTTCCATACAAGGGAACCACATCCCTGTTAACAGTAACTACTAGTCAATTAATTAATTAATGTAGGGCAGTATTTCTCAGATTGTTGTGCATAACTGAAACAAAAGTTCAAAAGCTTCTCATTACACTCAGTACCACTCTGTGTGTAGTATTTACTGTTGTGTTTTAATATTTTCTGTTTTGTTTTGTTTTGAGACAGCGTCTGGCCTTGAACTCACTATGGAACCCAGACTGGCCTCCAACTTGCACTGATCTTCCTGCCTCAGCCTCTCAAGTTTCTTTCTTTTTTTTTTTTTTTTTT